AAAATAATCCATTTGCTATGTTTAGCTGCCAGCTGAATGTTAAATCCCACCAGAATAATCAGTTCAGCTAGAAGTGTTACAATACTTTAAGATGCTTATCTTTAGGATAGCACTCCAGAAGTGGCTGTCAGCAATACAGCAGGATTACATATACTTAAAAGGGGCAGATGTTTAATTAGAAAGGGGGTTTCGCTTGGAGCTTTCAACTCAAATATTCCAAAGGTGTTTATCACAAAAAAAGCACTAAATCTTAGCTGCACTACCAACTCTGTATAAACTTAGTAAAATTTTACTATGTCAGAGGCAGAATGCTTGAAACAAATAGTAACAGCTACTAAAGGTACTAACAGAAATTTAACAGGGAAAACATAACTCAGCTCATCAAGGAAGAGTTGAGAACCACAGCATTCAGAAGTTCTTCCATTGGTTAAGACAAAAAGTGCTAGCACTATACTAAAACAGCCTCTTAGCCACTTGCAGGAAAACGACCTGAAAGCCAACGTGTGGATTCTATTGCAAACATATGATTCCCAGAGGGCAGAGACACTACTGGTGGCAAAATTGTATTAGGACTTTTTTGGATATCAAGTATGTCGAAGATAGGCATTAACACTGCTTTGCATTAATGAATTTCACCACCTAAGACTGTTGCCTATTTGTTCAGTGCTGGCAAACTCCCATCCGAAGTTTTGCTTCCTAGCTCACTTGAGGAAACACTTCATCAATGTTGTCATTAGGTGATTCTAATTTTTCTTTAGTCCTAGGGTGCATGATATGGGGCACTTCACAATATGCTGCAGTCCTAGAAAACATCTTTGTATGGATGTTGTCTAGGACAGACTACAGGAAGACCCGTTTCTAGTTCACATGGTCTAGTGCAATGTGGCAATGAAGGTAAACTAACCTTAACTTCCAACGGTGAGAAAAATCTTCTGCAGCACAGCATGGGGCTCCTTTGAATCATTGCAACAGCCAAGCAAGTAAGTGTATTCATCCCACCCAAACTCCAAGGACACAGTAAAAAACATTTATTCCCCACCCTCTTGTGGAAAACTCACCCAGTTTGTAGATGGTCCATACAGAAAATGCTTAATCAAAGCTTCAAGTACATCAAGTCTTTCCTAAGTGCTTTTAACATGTGGTTGATGGTGACATGTGAGCCAGAGGTGCAAAGTAAGCTCTCAGGGTTCCTTTTAAAAACTAAGCATGGTAAGCACCTCATCCAAAGGACAAATAACTCGATCTGAGGTGCACTGGCCAATTTGGCTGGTAGTCATTGAAGATAAACTTCATCAATGTTTGTAGGCATCTCAAAGCTATTTGGGCCAAGTGTGCCACAAACAAAAGTTATCAGGCTCATTTCTCCTCCTGATGAAAGCAAGGGAGTCTTTGTTCGTCCTCATTCCAAACCTATTCTGGATTATTCTTGAGGTCAATGCCCACAACATTCCTTCTTGGTGAAAACCATCTCAATTTATCCTTTACCACATGCTCTAATCCTAACATAAGGTATGGGATTTTATTTTGGAGCCTCATCCAAGACCTCCTAACTTTAGAGTACATGCAGCACAACTGCACTTAGTTAAAGCAGGGCAGTGAGAACTAGAAATGAACACCACAAGTTCAGAATAGCAGTGTGTCTGGACAGCCTTTCATCCTAATAAGTAGAATCCAGTGGCAAGTACAGCTAAACCACAGACATTCCATACCAAAGGACAGGTGGAATTTCACCAAGACCCCTAAGACTCTTCAGGGGATGCAGGACCTTGTCTACATGGTGTACTATTCCCTGGGAAACAAAATGTTGGGTGTTGGTTCCTTTTATCTTACAGAGGCATTCTCTTCTTTAAAGAATTCGGCTTCCTATATTAGGTGAACAGAGCTGCAGTATCAACTAAAACTTCTCTGACCTTATCTTCGAGTGTCTAACATGGAAACTAGTTAGTGTTTAAGGCCAAATTGCTGAAGCAGATGATCTATAACCTAATGTCTGTAGTTGTATCTGTGGCTTCAATGTCCTATACTTAACAGACAGTATGATTCTTTGAGGCAGGTGAAATCTATTGAAAACTCTTTAATATCTTAACATTCCCAATTCGCCACTGTGGTCCCCACCCATCTCCCATCAGCCCCCAAGTTGAACATAGTGGCAAGTACTCAGGAAACACTGGCAAGACACAGGCTGGCCCATGAATCCCATGAGGCACAAGGCCAGAGAAAGGGTGGAGAGGCCACTTGGATATAATAGCAGAAGCAGCTCAAGCTGGGGCTTCTTACATAGAAGATATAAGATACTGAAATGGTCCATGAACTCCACTTTCAACACACTGAGCATCCTGAGAGTGAAACCAGAAGTGGGAATGGAATCTTTATTTTCAAAGTCACTGCTAATAACTACACTGCTTCTAGATAGGACTGGGTAATAGAGCTGCAGCCATCACTAACTTTGGAGGCACTTGATAAGTGACAAAATCCTGCATCACTCAATTCCTACTGGACATGCACCCTTCCCTCCATACTTCCCCAAACACCTCTGATACTCCCCATCAGCCTGATGTCACATACCCATAACACAGGAAACCACTCCTCCCCTACTGCTTTGGTGGTCTAAAAGATAGCCAGAAGTGGTCCCTTTTCCAGTGTTTGAACTCACCTACAGCACACACAACTACCGACCCCCAAATTACACAGAACCAGGACTGGTGAGGGGGCAGAAGCATGGCTGGGCCTTGCCAAGGAAATGGAGTGAAGATGCGTGCTGAGATCACATTTCTTCTTAGACTAATGCTTGATTTATTCAAAGTGCTATGCAGTCTTTTCTTCTTTGCAACACATTCCAGATGGAGCCTCCATCCCTTTCCCTCTTTCCCTCTTTCCCCAAACCCTCAGCCCCCCACCCCAGCTACCTTCCCTACCCAATAACTCTCAAAATTCCCAAGAGCATCAACTTGTATGACAGGAAATGTTGACCAGCTTTTCACTATCCACACTTTCACATCTTTCCTTATTGTTTCTTAATAGATGAGAAAGCAAAACTAAATCCCCTTAAACATCAATAGCAGAAGTACTGGAAGGGCTCACATGGTTTGCTTGAGTTCTCAATCTAGCTCAGGGAAGGCTGGACAAGCCAGTCCACATCCAACCCCAAATATCTCAGTGTTCACTTTTAAAAACTGATGGGACTCATAGGCAATCACCTATTCAGCTGTAATATTCTATAAAATGCAGACTTGCATTCCTTCTCTTAGACCACACACTGCTTACCTTGAGGCTCAGGAGAGGCACTGTCCAATCCAGAATAGCTCTGGTGGCAGCAGTGGCCCCAAAAGCCTTGGATGCACCAATTCTTCTGAAGCAGCAATAGGTTGTTGACCATGGGGAAGTCTTATCATGCCAAATGAGCCCTTGTCCTACCACCCTGTTCCTTGGACATGAAGATACCTCCCAGATTCTGACTAGAGCTATTTTACAGTTTTGTGTGAGAGGCCATTAGGGACCCAGCAGCAGGGTAAACAAAGTGGTAATAGTTCCTGATATTTGGCATTCCTCAGGGGCAGGGCAAAAAAAAGCAACTTACTGAATAGACTGTCCTAATTTACAGGCACTATGAAAGAATGATATATCACTGGTGATGTGGTACATGGCTCAAGATCAATGGGGGAAACCTACAAAGAGCTCCCTAAATCACCCTGCTCATCCCTTTAGCAGGTCAAGTTCAAAATTCCTGCTGCTGTGATCATTCATTTACTTAACAGCTAAGTTACTACTGAACTATAACTGAGTCACCTGGGATTAAAGCCTCACAAGCTGAAGCATGGAGGCAAGGCACAGAGCATAAGCTAGAATCTAGAAACAGAAGCACATGACAAGGCAGCCCACCACACACAACCACCATTTAAGAGGAAAAAGGAGAAGTTTTAAAATGAGACCGGTGAAAGAAGGCATATATACACCAAGGGGCACACAACTCATTCTTAAAAGACCATAAAACCACTCTGTTGCCTGGCTCCAGAAACAGACCCCAAAAAGCCAGCACACAGAAGGTGTACCATACCACAAACTACAGCTGAGTCAATGATGCTCCTGAGATCCCAGGAGACCATGATCACCACCCCCAACCCTTTCATATTCCAAAAGGATAAAAGACCCCACACACTCACCCCCATCTGCTCTGCTGTGAATTTTATGAGGGTTTATTTCTTTAAGCCTGCCAGCTTTAACTAGGCAGGTGGTTAAGCTCTGAATATGAAGGACTAGAGGAGGAGGAGGTTAAGAAGGAAGATTATTAAACAACAGCAACAACAAAGAATATGAGACATTAAATGGATGAATGGGGGCAAGAAGGAATGATGACTGCATGTGCCAGAGGAAAGACAATCAATCAAGAATCTATGTGGGGCCTTGTACATAGGGCCTAAGAGTGTAGACCCTGCAGTATGATCACGTGGGTGCAAATCCCTGCTCTACAAATGACTATGTCACCTTTCACAAGTCACCTAGATTGTGTAAGCTGCCTCAATTTTCCCGTCTGTAAAATGTAGATAACAATACTCATAGCACCTAAAGGAAACCCACTGCCAGTATTAAATGTTTTAATGTATCAACAGTGACTGACACATAGTGAAGTCTCCAATAAATGTTTTTGGCTTCTGAATCTGGGGTCTACCAAGTCACTATGTTTTGCTGTTTCAAACTTGATACAGGTATGCTATTTTCATGAAGGCCATTGCTGGGTAAGAAAGTGGAGTCAATATCATGCCTAGTATACACTTGTGTATACTACAACTGAAGTGACTCATGTAGATGAATTAACAGTGCGTAACTTAAGGGCATGAAAAAACTTAAGAGCTAGAAATTTAGAAACGTTAAATTGAAGTTACAGCTGATAGCCAATAAATAGCTAAGGAGTCCCTGAAAAAGGAATAAGTCCTAATTTTCAGAAATGCTGTAGTCAACACTGTTGATGCAGGTCTGACACCCAAAGCCTATCCTCTTCCTACCCTGTTCAAGTAGGTCTGTCAAGACAGTGAGCATTAACAGCCCCAACCCACAGAGGTATCCTTGAAGAACAGTGTGCTCAGTTCTCCCTCTGTGCACAGCCATTTTCTTTCCTACCAAAACAAAAACAAAAAGAAAAACTTATTTAGAAAAAAAACTGCCATACTTCAGTTGCATCGAATGCTTAACTACTGAGGAACCATGTATATCCCTTACACAAGTATGTGAGTACATATGGGTCCATTTGTTGCCAGCCGCATATTAGGAAATCTTCGTTTGTGTGAAGGTTAGCCATGCTTCTATTCCTTTCATATAAGCGAGTTAACTGAATCCTAAACAACTCAAAGCTTTCTTTGGAATGTAAAATGCCATGAACTGAGCTTTCAAATTCAAACTGTAACTTAGAAGCATTCTGACCTTGTTTAAAATTATTTTCTCTCCAATTCGCACTTTGATTCTATGTACAGTATAGGTGAGACTAACATGAATTATAATTAACTCATTAGAGGATACAGGGAAGAGAATATCCACAAGGCCCATGGCAGATAATAATCAATAGGAACACAGACATAAGATACTCAGTTTGGCACAGTAAAACTATGCTATTAGTGGGTTTTCTTCAAAATCAACCAACTGGACAATGCATTACAGTTTATTACTTATTCTGTATTTAAACGAATACAACTTTTTCCCTTTTAAAGAGAGGCTTCTTCGCAGCCAAATTACATACCATGTGACAGAACATTTCCTCACCTGACTTAACTCTGCAATCCTCAGTGGACGAGATGAGAAGTCAAACGGCGACTGAAGACCTAAGGTAGAGAGGCCTGAACTTCCAAAGCTAAACCTGGAAAGAAACATCTAGGGCAATACTTGATGGCAGGTTGGCTCCCAGGAATCTCTTGGTCCCAGTAGCCAGATAAAGAAACCAAAAAGCAGTTCTCTACTTGGGAAGCCAATGGACTCCTTTGGAACAAGTCTCATTCTAAAGGGCTTCTTCCATGGAGTGTGGTTAAGTTGCAAAAACATGTGTATAATAAGTGGTAGGATGGAGACATCAAAAGAAGATATACCAGAGAGGTCACAGAGATTTAGGGGATTCCAAAGATGACACTGTAGTATCCTGTGGCAATTAGGAGCTTAGGCTTTTGCACCATAACATAAGGGTTCAGAAAAGGAGTGTACAGTAATTTCCTGGCTGGCCATTCCTGGTCAGGTTTTTAACTTCAACTGGTTTGATAACCTGCCTTTGAAATGTAATAAAAATGATACTAATATCAGAGTTGGTGAGATTACATCAAGTAAAAGTGAAAAGAACAACTCTACGTTTGGCTACCTCTGAAACAAACCAACTTTGGCAGGAAATGGCCTTTATTAAGGGGCGTTTCTGTGCAGTTCATTGTGACTGCCCTGTTTGAAAAACAGATGTGGAGACAAGGCTCACAATCCAGGTGTTTCTACTACAGAAGCACCTCAGTTAATCCTTACACACCTATCCTATAAATTCTGACAGTATCTTTGTTACTAGTTCGGCATTTAAACTTTAGAAAAAATTTTTTAAGTCATTCTTAAAAAATACCTGATCTTCCTGGGAGCACAGTCACCACTGGGCATTGAAAAGGACCTCATTTTTACCTCCAACTAAAGTGTCACTGATAAAGATGAGAGAGAGCCTACACTGCAGAGACTCGGGCCAAATTGCTTGACTCATTCTGTGACATTTGGGGGCTTGTTACTCAGTATAACTGATCTCAATTACCTAAGCTGAAAAAATACAGGATAATATGAGAATTTACTTCCTGAGCATTAAAACTGAGTTAATGCATACTAGTGTGTAATATTTATTCTGCGCTGAGTCAAGATGAACTAGTGTTAGCAAGAGACTATTATAAAATTAAAAAATGTATTATATAAAATGGCCTACTACCTAGAATGGAACAAAGTAGATGTGATAATTAAGAGGTATTTAAATGAGAAGAAGGAATTGTTGTATTTGGTAGAAAGTGCTGAAAAAATGCCTCCTAATTCCAGTGGGCTGAAGTTTTACACCTTAATAATCCAGAGCCAATTTCAAGATTTTTATTGCAAGAGTTAAATAATTCTCTATTGCACAGTTTACTATGACCAGCTTAATTAGATTAATAAAATATGGAAACAGTTAACCAAAAACATTACATTTGGTTTCTAGAGCAGTACTTTTCATTAGATAGTGCATAAATAAAATATGTACCAACATATGTGGTGAATAAACAAAATGTGGCACATAAACAAACTGAATGGATAAACACAATGTGGTGTATACATACAATGGAGTATCATTTGGCCTTAACATAAGAAAATAAAGTTCTGGCAGGGCAACAACACTGATGAACCCTGAAGATATGCTAAGTGAAATAGGCCAAACACTAAAAGGACAAGTACTGTATTGCTCCAATTATCTGAGGAACCTAAAACAAGCAAATTCACAGAAACTGAAAGTAGATTAGAGGTTACCAGGGACTGGGCAGAGGGTAATTTTGATGAATGTACCATAGTAGTATTAAGAGAATTTAATTATACCAACTTAACTTTAGTTTAAAGAAAAAAAGGATGATGCCGTTAAGAAAATGTGAAATCATACAGTGTTTATCTTTCTCTGACTCACTTCACTTAGCATAATATCCTCTTTTGATTGTCTTTATTTAGAAGCTTTTTGTACATTAATGAAGATTAGCACTTAGTAATATGTGTTGCAAAAGTTTTTCCAAGTTTCTCATTTTCTTTTGTCTTCATTTACAATGCATTTTAACATGAAATATTTTGTTTATGTAGCTGCATTTATATATCTTATTTTATGGCTTCTGTTTGAAGACACAGCAAGATAAAGGTGCATTTACAAATCAGTGAGCTTTGGATGGACTAACTATAGAATAATTAAACAGCTGGGAGAGAAAAAAGTAAACCCTTTTCTCTTAAAAAAAAAGATTAAGGATTAAAAGCATGGAAAAATAAGAAAAAAATACATAAGCAAGTATAGTAAAAAATTGGTCTTGGGATTTAGAATTCTTTTCTAAAAATATACCCAAAGCCAAGGATCTAAATACATTAAATTCAATTCAATTTTATGTCTTGACATTTATCAATCTTTTACATTAAGAATTTTGGTAGTATTAGGAGGATAGATACCTTTAATATTTAAAGCACACTATAAAGTGGAAACATTTTAATGCTGTTTTAGAAGTGCTTTCCATTATAATAAGCCTGTCCTCCCTTGGTACCTACTACCTAAAGGATACTTCTTTGTCTGTGAGCCCAAGACTACTACTCTCAATTTCCAAGTCCCAGCTGACTAGCCCAGGAAAGAGCCAGCAGGATGACCAGCTGTCAAGCATTCATTTTAAATATGCATAACCAAGTAAGAACTACAACTGGATCTCTAAAGATTCACAGAGAAACAAATTATTAGTCAGCAGAACCTATTGGGTAAAGAAGGCCACAGGGAATCAAAGGAGAGAGCAACATGCTCAGAGGCATGAGGATGATAGAGCAAAAACGCAGAGTAAACATGGCCAATAAAAGAAAGATCGATGGTTTCTTTCTCCAGGTGCCTCCATTTCCTGTTGGCTTTCTAGTTCCCATTCCAGAGGCATAGAAACTCATTAGTTCTCTTGGTGGATTTTCCAGTAAAATCTCTATATCCCTACTGCTCACTACCCCTTGTAGACTTTCAAAATTATGATCCCCTCACTATATCTATCATTTGCATTCTGCATAACAAAAACCTTACAAAACCAGGATCAAAATATAAAAATGTATAATACAATAAATCTAGCCTTTGTTCCCTGTGGGTAGCAGAGCTTCAAAAAGCCTGAATGACAGAAGTATTCTTTTGTTATTCCTAAAAAGCCCCCTTTGACCACACCTGAGTTTATGCTAATGAGGTGACTCAAGGGGGGCCCTTAGATAGTTTCTGGGGAGCAAGGATGGCCATGCCAGAAAGACCAAGCATATGAAAAGAAGGTTAGAACTTTCAGCTCCACCCTCCAGAACTCTGGGGTGGGGTGGAGGGTTTGGGGTGTGTGTGGGGGCAGGGTACTGTAGACTGAATTTTAATCCAGTGGCCAATGACATAATAAGACTCCAATAAAACTGGGCACCCAGGGCTCAAGGAGCTATGATTGGTGAACAATTCGATATGCCAGGAAGATGACATGTCCTGAGTCCAAGGGGACAGAACATGGAAGCAACTTATCCAGCATCCTCCCAGAACTTGTCCTACGCATCTCATTCACTTGGCTGTTTCTGAGTTGTATCCTTTATTAAAACAAACAAACAAACAAACAAACAAACAAACAAAAAGCCCTGTAATTCTAAGTATGGTGCTTTTAGAGAGTTTTGGAAATTATGCTAGCAAATTAATGAACCTGAGATAGTTATGAGACCCGTTGAATAAAACCAGCTGTTCATTAGTACAGGTGGCCCGATGACTTCCTGAAGGGCAGGCAGTCTTCAGGGAGACTATATACCCTTAACTTGTGAGATCTGGCATTAATTCGGAGTGGTTAGCATCAGAATTGAATTGAATTGCAGAAAGGCCAGGTGGTGTCAGAGAACTGATGTCAGAATAGTATCAATCTCTCACTGTGTAACAACTAACTGATTAATTTTTTTCCAACACAATATATTTTTATTAAGGAGAAAACAAAAAAACAAAGAAATCAAAACATCCCAGAAATAGTGACAATTACATAAACCTGTCTCAAAGATAACCAAAGTGAGCATTTTTGGTGTATAGACTTTAACATTTTTCACTTTACCAGGAAAATGCATCAAAGAGGTTACAGCAAGTCCTTCAATTTCTTATAAAGAGAAACAGAATTGCCTTCATCAAATGATGCCCAGACAGCACGACACCCAAAGTTTAAAATTAATAAGGTTCTCTCAGTTAACTATTTTTAATAGGATGAGGAGAAAAAAAAGAGAGAAAAAACCCAACCCAGCCAATATATCAGCTTTTGTTAAAATACTTTACAAATAACCATAGGTCACTTTTTGAGTGACCTAAAAGGCTCTCCAAAATTTTTTACAGTGTCCAAATAGGACAGAGATTATATATTTAAAATCACTTTTATCAAAGTGGCCCAGCCCACCCTCTTCCCTTAAGCACAGTCTGAATGTGATCAATTATAGAATGCTCTAATTTTGATCTATTATTATACATTTGACCCATGCACACAGAAAAGAGTTAACACAGCAGGCCTGAGACTATCCTCAGAAAGGCCTGCGTGCAAGGCTGGGCCATGGGTGGCATCTGGGAACTTTACTGGTGCACGTTCCCTACAGTGACAGAAAATTTTCCCTAAGTGGTAGGGTTGGCTCACTGTGCCTAGACTGCTTGTGTTAATAATGTGGATTATGCTCAATACCTACTTTCCTTCTGGAAGTCTGAAATTTTGGTGTGTGCTAAGCAGAATGTGGCTGCCTATGTGACCAGCCCACTATAAAAACCTCGGGTGTTGAGTCTCTAACAGGCTTCCCTGGCAGAAACATTGTACACATGACGTTGCATTTTGATTGTGGAGGATGCACTCACGGGAGGAAGACAACATAAGGAAGTTGCACAGGAATTCCTCCAGACTACAACTGTGCCTTTTTTCCTTATGCTAATTTTAGAAAGGCTGTGTATCCTTACTATGCCGCTGCTGAGTACAATTCATATGTTGAAAGTCTTGGGATCTAATGACTCCCAGCACACCATCTGTTTTTTGATATTGAGATACCAGATTATGAAGGCAAAATTTATTTTCCTCCAAGTTTTGAAATTTAGTTTTTATAAACATAATTAAATATAATACATATTTACATTATAACAATTGGAGGTTTTTGGTTATTACTGTCAGATTTTTTTAAATCACTGGATTAGAATTGTCAGTAAATGAGGTCACAGCTGTAGAATGTAAAGTGCACAGCTTAGTAACTACTTCTGACTTAGAACAAAATGTCAAGCTGATTTTTAAACAAAATACTGTATTTTCCTAGCTACACAAGTTTTCGTTTTTTTCCAGCAGGGGTGAGCGGGAGGGGCTTTCTCAAAATATATATATATGTGTGTATATATATATACACACATATATATATATTTGTTTCCTAGACTTGTTCCCAGTGAGACATTTTTAAGGATCAGAAGTTCTTTTAGCTATTTAGCTATTATTCTCAGTTAAAATATATCTTCTATACTATTCTCAGTTAATGACATTTCTACCAAGTTCCAGGCTACTAATAGCAGTCACATGTTTTTCAATTACAAAACTTCATGCAATTCCTTCTACTGAGATGACCTTAAGGAGTGTAAAAATCCTTTGGTGACCTATTGTAGCTAACTTCCAGCAACGGTGCCTCAGGCCCAAGACAAAGCATATACACGATGCTATCTCTAAACTGACAAAAGTAATTCTCTAGGTACAATTAGAATGAGGGAATTTCTCCTAACAAACTGTAACTACTGATTTTTATTATTGCATTCTCTTCTCTAATACTTCCAAATGCATACTTACACTGAGGCCTGCTGCGAGGAACATGTTCACATTATCAGTCTTTCATCAGGTTCTTTTCCATGGGAACAAACCATGCTTCAGGGCCCTCAGAGAATGCGCTGCAGCTTCTGTGACTAAAAATCATAGTTGGTAATGAAATGATGAGTCAACTGTGCAAAGATAAATACAAGGGCATCCAATGCTGATATATTATGAGAGGTAAATGATCTTTGACACTCCAATTTCTTAATTTCTATAGGAAACATACCCATCAATGTAACCAGAACACTTATTTCCATATGAAGAGCATATTCTTTTCCTGTGGCCAAATTATGACTACACAATTGCTTAATCAGCACAGAATCTGAACAGGTGACATAATTAGATAAAATAAATGTTCAGTAACGTCAAAGACAGCCTCACATTCAAGAAGTCTATACACCAAAGGTTTAACAGTGATTTTAAATTATAGATAGAATTATAAGCTTATCTTGAGTGTTTATATCTTGTGTTATCTGAGCTGCTTATAATAAGTACCGCTTTATAACCAGGAAAAATACCACTTCCATTTAAAATAAGCTATGAAAAATAACCAGTTATTAAAATTAATAGAAAAATATAATTGTGACTACATCTGGCATAAACACCTATGCAATAACATAAGAAACATTGGGGATCCAAATGATGAAAATTATGACTATTAGGACATAAAAAGACTTGAATAAATGTCTCTAGAAAGAAGAAATGTTGCAAACATGTTAATTCTGACCAAATCAATTTACAAATCAAATACTATTACAATATCCCCAAGTAAATTTTTTTAAACAAAGCAGAAGTTTACAAAGTAATTCTTAAATTCAAGTTAATGATGAATTGGAGAACACTAGCTAAGAAAATATTGAGAAAGAACAAACAAGTTTTACTATAAACAAAGAGGGAATAGACCAAGCATCAGCAAACTACAGCCAATAGATCAAATCTGGCTGCAGACAGACTTTCATTATCTGTGGTTGATTCTCCCAGTGAATAGTTGCAGTAGAAACTGTGTGGCCCACAAACCTAAAGTATTTACTATGTGGACTGTTTGCCAACCCTTATGAAAGACACTTCAATTATGTTGTCATGTCCATTGCCTCTTCTCAAGTTCAAGAAGGCCAAGAGAAGGCAATTTATGAGGTTCTAGGATTCATGAGTACCACAAGGAAGTAGTAGCTATAATGTAGAGAAATAAAGGTCAGGGAAGCCCATTAATGGCAAAAGAAGCCTGAATACTGGTAAGGACCTTTAAAAATACTGATGCCCAGGGCCATTCCAGACCAATTAAACCACAGTAGCTCACTCTGGTTCATTTTTAAAGTTCCCCAGTTTATTCTAATATACAGCTCTGATAGGGAACCACTGAGAGCAAGGAGGAACAACAAATGCAGAGTGGCTGAGTGATGTCAGTGGTGCAGCACAAGTGTAACAATCCAAAAAACACCTGCTTTGGTGCCAAGAGCTGCCTGAATCCAGATTCCATGCTCAATATTGTTCCTATATTTAGATTCTCGTTAAATTCCCGTCTTCCATATTGTTCCACATGTTAACACACAGTAAACTCCTATGAGTTAGGCTGAAGTGATTCCTCATATCTTGAGGCCAAAAGGGCCAAATTACTGTAGAAATTCGTATCAGATACACAGTCGCATGAAACAGAACCTCATTAGGAATGTAAAATATTTGAAATTTTTAGGGTGTGACTGTGGAGTGAAAATCATACACAAACCCCTCCCTACATGCCAAGACAAAGCCATTAATTATACAATTGCCTTTGTGACTCATACATGCAACCATTTAGGGTGAGGTGAAGCTCTAACTGGTAGTGGCTGTATTAGAGCAACTTCAAAGAAATGAGCACAGCAGAGCTTGACAGTTATTTCTCTTCTGATGACAATGTGCAAGTTCTGATATAACCATGAGGTGCTGACCTTGGAAAGCATGATTTTGTCTCCGCTACAGCTAGACATGGTGCTCAGTTACCATTCCAACAGGCATGGCGTAACATGGATTAGATCACAGGTTCTGAAGTTTGAGAACCACTGAACTAAACATGCCAGTTCAGGTTCCTCCCTAACATACATCCACTTTCTTCTAAGGACCATCACCCCTGTTTCTTGTCATAGCTGTAAAACAGCGCTAGAGGACAAGGTTTTGTTTCACATTATCCAGTATTACTGATAATCGTATCCTCTTCACTGAGCACAGGTCATGGGACCAATCCATACATTGTCAGCAACCTATGACATGTCTAAGCATGAAAAAGCACTGTGCAAACAAAGATAAACTAGGCCACTAGACTCTTATTGGTAATTAGCAATCAAAGCTGAGGAAGAAGATAAGACAAAAAACAGATTATAAGGCAGGAGAAAAGAGGTGAATCAAGTCAATCACACAGTAGAGAAGGCCCACAAACTCCATGTGCTTAAGTCCCTAGAGCTACCACAGATACAATTCCATGCCACACTATTCTTAAGATTACTATGAAATCCCCTACTTTCCTGTATCTTACCATGTGTATCTATACAATAAACATCTATTTCTTGAGCTAAGCCTATGTCTTATTTTGTGAAACCAGAAATCCTACATAATTTAGAAAACAGTACAGAGCTGGGCTCCATGAACAGAACTTTGGCAGGAATCTGAAATATTCAGACCTGGTTATTACTTGGTAGTGAGGTAGGGAGCAGATAAACTCCACCACAATCCAGGTTGGAATGTTAAGAGCCTACAGGAACTATGGCAAAGTTATTATAACAGGACCACACACACATCCAATGAAGGTAAGTTTTGGCACAATAACAACCACAGAAAAAATTCAAGTGGCCAAGGAAGATGACAAGACAGGTGGGTGCTTCTGAAATTGGCAGGTAAATTACCAAAATGGTCTCATGATATTCCTTCAGACTACAGCATCTGGCTGTGACTTTGTTACTCTCCAATACTCCCACTTGAGTTAAGAGTTGAAAAAGTATACAGAAGCATCTTCAGAAATGAGGGGGGGCATATGTCCTTAGAAGTCAAGATGCAGAAATGCAATACAACCACATATGAATCAAGTTATGGCCAAGCTCACAGGCCATGTAAGGTAAACACCCATAGTTCTAGAGAAGGGGCAGTTCTGGACAGCAGTCAATTTTAAAATATGACCTGTTCGAACCTGTACATTCCAAAGCAGAATATACCAGGTGTGGGACACAACCCAAATGCTGTGATACTGCGTGACTCAAAAAGTTACTACCCAAGCAGGGGTGAGCTAAGCCACCAAAAATCTTGCACTGAGGAATCAAGTTTGTGAAATGGAAGGAGTAAGGCCCATAGCAGAGAGATGTGAACCTTAAAAGGACAAGAGTTGGGAAACATGACACAGAGCTGAGGACTCAAAGCAATAAGCATGGTTTAGTGATGAGTAATTGAAAATTAGTTAGGAAGTAGAATACAAACAAAGCTAGGAAATAAACTAAAACTTTAGTAAGTGACAAGGAAGGCAAAAAAGCAAAGACAAAGGGAATTAAGATGTGATGTATAGCATGCTGTCTTCAGTTACTACTGTACTGAATACCGCAAATTTGTTGAGAGTAGATTCCAGCAGCTCTTAGAAAAAAAAAGTAACTAGGTAGAAGGTAAGTTAATTAGTTTGATGTGTGAGTACAGTAATCATGCACCATATATATCAAATCATGTTGTATATCTTCAATATAATTTTTATTTTTAAAAAAAGATGTTAAAGGTGGCAAATGTGATAAATGATACAAACCCCTGTTGCCAACATTTCCAGCTATGTCTTGGAACCATTTCTAATCCTCAAACCATTTTCCTAAAAGAGGAAACTGAACTTGTTTTTTTTCATTTTTTAAATTATCTTTATTCAAATACAGAATTTACTTTATCTGGATCCTTGTCTACCTTAGACGCTCACCATACATAGTCATGGGTGCTCCATAGTGCCAGGCTGGAATTAGAATTGGGCTATCAAAAATAATCACAGAAAAGTAAACTCGAAATGAATCAAAGACTTGAATATAAGTCATGAAACCATAAAACTCTTAGAAGACAACATAGGCAAACATCTCCCAAATATAAGCATGAGCAACTTCTTCCTGAACGCATCTCCTCGAGCAAGGGAAACAAAAGCAAAAATCAACTCACGGGACTACATAAAACTAAAAAGTTTCTGTACAGCAAAGGACACCATCAACAGAACAAAAAGGCATCCTACAGTATGAGAGAATATATTTGTAAATGACATATCTGACAAGGGGTTAACATCCAAAATATATAAAGAACTGAAACGGCTCAACACCCAAAAAGCAAATAACCCGATTAAAAAATGGCCAGAGGATATGAAGAGACAGTTCTCCAAAGAAGAAATTGAGATGGCCAACAGGCACATGAAAAGATGCTCATCATCACTAATCATCAGGGAAATGCAAATTAAAGCCACACTGAAATATCACCTCACACCAGTAAGGATGACCACAATCCAAAAGACTAAGAACAACAAATGCTGGCCAGGATGCAGAGAAAAGAGAACCCTCCCACATTGCTGGTGGGAATGTAAGCTAGTTCAACCATTGTGAAAAACAATATGGAGGTTTCTCAAAAAACTAAAAATAGAAATACCATTTGATCCGGGAACTCCACTCCTTGGAATTTACCCAAAGAATACAATTTCTCAGATTCAAAAAGACAAATGCATCCCTATGTTTATCGCCGCACTTTTTACAATAGCCAAGATATGGAAGCAACCTAAGTGTCCGTCAGTAGATGAATGGATAAGGAAGATGTGGTATATATACACACTGGAATACTATTCAGCCATAAGAAAGAAACAAATTCTACCATTTGCAACAACATGGATAGAGCTGGAGGACATTATGCTCAGTGAATGAAATAAGCCAGGTGGAGAAAGACAAATACCAAACGATTTCCCTCATTTGTGGAGTATAACAATGAAGCAGAACTGAAGGAACAAAATGGCAGCAGACTCAGAGACTCCAAGAATGAACTAGTGGTTACCAAAGGGGAGGGGTGTGGGAGGGTGGGTGGGGAGGGAGGGAGGGAGGGAGAAGGGAATTGAGGGGTATTATGTTTAGTA